CTGGGAGACACAGACCGGAGCACATGGCTGCAGCGAAGAGGGTATTGCGCTACCTGTGCAGTACGTCAGGCATGGGGCTAGTGCTTGGAGGGCGGAGTCCAGTGGTCCTTACCGGCCACGCGGACGCTTCTTGGGCTGACGACCAGGCTACGCAGCGGTCGTCACAGGGTTACACCTTCAGCCTTGGTTCCGGCTCTGTCTCGTGGCGGTCTACTCGCTCGTCTTCGGTTCTCGGCTCCAGTTGTGAGGCTGAGATCTACGCCGGAGCCATGGCTGCACAGGAGCTTCGCTGGCTCACCTACCTGCTGACCGACCTTGGAGAGCCGCCTCGTTCTCCTCCAGTGCTGTACGTAGACAACAAGGCTATGCTGGCCTTGTGTCGAGAGCAGCGCTTGGAGCACAGAACGAAGCACATTGCTCTCCGCTACTTCCTTGCTCGTGAGTTGCAGCAGCGTGGTCAGTTGCGACTTGCGTACGTGGCCTCTGAGGCCAACACTGCTGATGTGTTCACCAAGGCACTTGCGCCTTGTGACCATCAGCGCTTCTGCACCCAGCTGGGTCTTGTGCCTGTCTTGCCTCACTTGCTCTCCTCTTGACTTTACTTGTACTGTGACATATATATATACCTGCTCTTGCTTGTCTAGTTTTATATATATGTCTGTACTCTTGCTTGTGAACTGGCCTTTGGCCTTGCTCTTGTGCTCGGACTGTGTGGTGACTTTGTGATCCACCCTGAGCTTTGATTTGTCTTGCTTGACTGGTCTTGTGACCCCTTGTTCTCCCCCACTTTGCCTATGGGGGTGTGTCAGAACATATCTATAGCTTATACTGCTGTGTAGGCTGTAGTGGGGTATCCCATAGGGGGTACAACCCAGTTAGGGTTTCATATTTGTACTGCTTTCATTCATAGTTCATTCATTCCTGCTTACTCATTTCACAACGATACCCCGAGATTTTTCCCGACGACTTACCGGAAGGACTGCCACCTCAGCGAGCACATGACCACCGAATAGAATTAGAACGGGGGGCACAACCAACTGTACAGCGACAGTTCAGATTGACACAACCCGAGCTCGACGAACTGAGGAAGCAGTTAGATTACTTATTAGCGAAGAAATTCATCCGACCGAGCTCGTCACCGTTCGCCGCACCGATACTTTTCACGCCAAAAAAAGACTGAGGGTTTCGCATGTGCATCGTTTACCGAGCGCTCAACAGGGTAACAGTCAAGTCGCGGTACCCCATTCCCTGCGCCGACGAACTGATCGACCAACTGCGAACAGCACGGGTTTTTTTCGAAAATAGATTTACGGGGAGGTTATGTCAGAATCCCAACCACTAGACCATTTGGATAAAAGGGCTTTTTAAGTAGCGGGTCAGAGTGCGCCCATAACCCCCCAAGGCAAACGCGCATGTAACCCCCCGTAGGATCAATCGGGCATCCATAGTGCAGATCTACTGACAGGTTACCATCAGATTAGGGTCGAACCATCGGACTGCGCCAAAACAGCTTTCCGGACTAGGTACGGATCATTCGAGTACACCGTGATGCCTTTTGGGCTAACCAACGCATCAGCGACATTTCAGATGACCATGAACGGGGCGTTTAGGCCACTTTTAGATAAATGCGTGATAGTTTACCTCGACGACATCCTCGTCTACAGTCGCGACAAGCAGCAGTACTTAGCAGATCTGGAAGCAGTGTTTAAGATTTTAGACAAGCATCGGCTCCTAACAAAGGGTTCCAAGTGCGAGTTTTTTCAGGACCGGCTAGAGTTTTTGGGGCACGTTATTTCGGAGGCTGAGGTCGAAATTGACCCCAAGAAGTTAGACATGGTGAAATCCTGGCACCCGCCGACGAATATCTCGGAACTACAGAGCTTTTTGGGGTTCGTCAATTACGTGCGTCGGTTCGTCCCCGACATGGCACAGTTAACACCGCCGCTGACGGACTTGTTACGGAAGGGGGTCGCTTTTACGTGGGAGGAGAAAGAGCATGCTGCCTTCTCTGCCTTGAAAAATGTTCTCTGTTCACCGCCCGTCCTGCGCATCGCCGACCCACACCGCCCATTCGAAGTAGTTACCAACGCAAGCGACATCGCCATCGGAGCCGTACTGCTACAGGACTTCGGCAACGGCCTACAGCCCATCGCATACGAGTCACGAAAACTGCATCCGCCCGAGAAAAATTACCCGATACACGACCGCAAAATGCTTGCGATCGTGCACGCGTTCAAAGTGTGGCGCTATTAATTGACCGGCGCAGACGTGACAGTACGGACGGACCATAAATTACTACAGTACCTCCGCGCACAGCCACACCTCAACCCACGACCGATTCGCTGGCTCGATTTTCTCGAGTCCAACTTTCACTACACGGTCACCTACAAAAAGGGAGCCTCGAACATCGCCGACGCACTGACCCGCCCCACTGCCTAGATCCATGCAATACTACTCGCCCAGACCAGCCCCCTACTGATAGGCCTATTTACCCACGGGTACCAAACGGATCCATTATTCACAGGAGGAAATTCGCAGCACTTCGCAGCAGCAAGGAGAGTCATTACGTAAAAGCCGGGACCGACCGCATCTGGGTGCCCGGGTATACACTGCTACGGGAATTACTATTACAGGAGGCACACGGCGGAGTTACCTTGGGGCATTTCGGGGTAGAGAAAACACGACAGCAGCTGCAGCGGTATTATTACTGGCCCGAAATGTTGACCGACGTACAACGACACGTGGCATCGTGACCCACTTGCCAGCTCATGAAATCATCATGGCAGCGGCCGGCAGGACAGTTGCAGCCGATACCACCCCCAGAGCGTGCTTGGCAGCAGGTGACGATGGACTTCGTCACGGGGTTACTGGCCGGGGCTGTGAAGTTTAGAACGAGAATGAATGCATTGCGCAGAATGAGGAGTACAAGTAGTAAACCCTAAAGTGTTGTACCCCACATGAACTGCCCATCTACAGCCTACACAGACTATAGCATATATGCCTGACACACCCCCAAAGGCAAAGTGGGGGAGAACAAGGGGTCACAAGACCAGTCAAGCAAAGCAAAGCAAGCTCAGGGTGGATCACAACGTCACCACATAGTCCGAGCACAAGAGCAAGGCCACAAGGCCAGTTCACATGCAAGATCATATATATAAAGGTAAACAAGAAAGTGCAAGTATAGAAAGAGTACAGTACAAACAAGATCAAGAAGTGAGCAAGTGAGGCCAAGTAGGCACAAGACCTAGCACAGTACACAAGCGCTGATGATCACAAGGCGGAAGGGCCTTGGTGAAGATATCAGCAGTGTTGGCCTCAGAGGCCACGTAGGTAAGGCAGAGCTGACCACGCTGCTGTAGCTCACGAGCCAGGAACTAGTGGAGAGTTATGTGCTTCGTTCTGTGCTCCAGTCTGTGCTCCCGCCACAAGGCCAGCATGGCCTTGTTGTTTACGTACAGAACTGGAGGAGAACGAGGCGGCTCTCCTAGGTCAGTCAGCAGGTAGGTGAGCCAGTGTAGCTCCTGTGCAGCCATGGCCCCTGCGTAGATCTCAGCCTCACAGCTGGAGGTGAGAACAGAAGACGAGCTGGTAGACCGCCACAAAACAGAGCCGTAGCCAAGGCTGAAGGTGTAACCCTGTGACGACCGCTGTGTCGGCTGGTCGTTAGCCCAAGAAGCGTCTGCGTGACCTGTGAGGACCACTCGACGCCGCCCTCCAAGCACTAGCCCCATGCCCGACGTACTGCACACGTAGCGCAACACCCTCTTTGCTGCAGCCATGTGCTCTGGTCGGTGTCTCCCAGGAGCAACATAGCGTGCCAAGATGCTAAGAGGGCATGCAAGGTCAGGTCGTGTGCAGGTCATCAGGTACATGAGGCAGCCAACAAGCTCTGGGTACGGGCCACTCGGCTCTACGGACTCATCCGAAGGCAGAGCTGAGAGCGAGTGGCGAGTAGACAGAGGAGTGGCCTGAGGCAAGGAGTACGTGAAGCCGAAGCGCTGAAGGACCTGCTGCACCATGTGTGACTGAGTCAGGGTAATGGTGCGCTGTGCTCTGTCCCGGGTGATTTGCAAGCCAAGGTAGCTGCGCAGTTCACCCAGGTCTGTGCACGTGTGTCTCTTCTGCAGCTCGGACTTCACGTGGGTGAGTCCAGCGGTGTCAGCAGTGGCAAAGACCAAGTCGTCGACGTACACGAGGATGTAGAACGGCTGCAAAGAGGTGTCGGTGCGCAGAAACAGCGACGGGTTAGCTGTAGAAGGAGCAAACCCAAGAGCCGCAAGTGTAGTCCTCAGTGTGTCGTGCCACTCACGGGGCGCCTGGCGGGGACTGTAGACTGGCCGCTGGAGGCTCCACTGGGTACCAGGAGGAAACGACCCAGTGAAGCCAGGTGGGCGGCGCAGCCAGATCTCCTCGTGCAGGCTGCCCAGCAGAAAGCCGTGCTGAAGTCAAGAGAGTGAAGTTCGTAGTCGCACTGAGCGGCTATGTGCAGCAGCACCCGAAGAGTGGTCATCTTCGGGGTGGGAGAGAAGGTCTGAAAGTAGTCAACTCCCTGCCGCTGACTGAAGCCTCGAGCTACGTAACGCGCCTTGAAGACAGGCGGAGAGCCCGGCGACCGATTCACCCTGAAGATCCACATGCCACTGACGATGTTCGCCCTAGGTGGGGGAACCTCGTCAACGTAGGTGCCTGTTGACTTCCAGGAAGCCATCTCTGCGTCCATGGCCGACTACCACTGAGAGGAGTAGGGACCCTCGATCGCCTCAGCGTACGATCGAGGAGTCGGGATGTCTGGTGCATCCGGGTCTCCCTCAGGGGCAATCAGCGTGGACACGAGATGGGGCAAAGCAGCAGCAAAGCAGTGGAACTCCTCCTGCCTGTCCTCAAGGACGTCCATGCTAAGAGCACACTCACCCCCGACGGACGGAGGTCAGACAGACCCAGACTCAGCAACGAGACTCGCAGCGTAGTCTAGACGACAGCGAGCAGCAAAGTCAACAAGCTCAGCAACTAGGGCAGACACAGCAGTGGACCCAAAGGAAGGGTCAGTGACAACAATAACAAGGAGACGCGTGACCGAAGGACTAGCAGCACGAAGAGAGTCAGACTCCGGATCAGCAAGAGTAGGAAGAGAGGACTCAGGAGGAGACGGCAACGGGACACGCAGAGGAGCAGTGGAAGGACGCAGCGCCATCTGGTGTGTGCCGGGGACCACCAGTGCGAGGAGCACGAACAGGCGACGCAGGATGAGACGCAGGCTCACGACGCTCAGCAAGACCTCCAGTAGGACTAGTGTAGGGAGAAGGAGCAGGTAGAGGGGAGGCGGGCTGTAACAGTGACTGTGACTGGACAGGCTGTGGACACTCTAAAGGAGGAGCAGGACCAGTAGAGGGCGGGAGACCAAGAACCTGCTCCAGGAGCGGAACGAAGTACGGCCTCGGCCGCGCAGCGCCTCCAGAACCAGCAAGGACAGCACTAGTACCCCCAGCGGCAGCACCAGCGCCAGCAGCACCTCCAGCTCCAACAGCGCCAACTCCAGCACCCACAAAAGTACCAGCGCCAGCAGCACCGCCAGCGCCAACTCCTCCAGCAGCTCGAGCTCCAGCAGCTCCAGCTCCAGCAGCACCAGCCTCAGTAGGACCGTCAGCTCCAGCAGCCTCAGCAGCACCCCCAGACGCACCAGCGCCAGTAGAAACACCAGCGCCAACACCCCCAGTAGCTCCAGCTCCAGCAGCACCAGCACCGCCAGCAGCTCCAGCAGGACTATCTCTAGTAGCCCTAGCAGCACACCCAGTCCCAGCAGCTCCAGGACCGCCAGTACGAGCACCTCCGCGACCAGCAGTAGCAGTAGTACCTCCAGACCTAGCGCCCCCCGGCTCCGCACCCCCAGACCCAGCACCCCGAGGCTCAGCACCCCCAGACTCAGCACCTCCAGACCCGGCACCCGCAGGCTCAGCACTTCTAGCAGCACCAGAGTCAACAGCTACCTCGACAGGCTCGACTGCGTCTACCTGGGACACACCTGACGGGGCATGACCCTGAGGGGGGAGGGGGTCTACCGGGGGAGGACCTGGCGCAAGGAAGAGCGGCGGCGGGGGGAGGGGCGCACTGCGGTAGGGGAAGAGACGATAGTAAGGCACCGACTCGTCAAAGGTGACGTCCAGGGAGGACTGAACACGGCGCGAGGTGGGGTGGTAGAACTGCCACCCAGGCGCGTCAGGGGGGAAGCCAAGGAAGACGTAGCGAACAGCACGGGGGGATAGCTTGTTCGCAGACAAGTCGCGGACAAAAGCCCGAGATCCCCAGACCCGAAACGCAGACGCATCGCCAACCTTCCCGGTCCACCGCAAGGCGGGGGAGGTCTCTGGCAAGGAGACCCGGGGCTGAAGGTTGAGCTGATGCGTGGCGTACTGAACCGCAAACGGCCACAGAAAATGGGGGGCAGCTGCATGCATCATGGACGTACGAGCGACGTCCATGACCATGCCAATGCGGCGCTCAGCAATCCCATTTTGCTATGGAGAGGCTGGAAGCGTGAAGGTCTGGCGGATGCCCGGTGCATGACAGAAGGCTCCCTGACGGGCAGAGGAAAACTCCCCGCCTCTGTCCAAGGGCAGACGCAGAACAGGAAAGTCCGAGCCGAAACTCTCCCTGAGCTGGAGACGAGCTGCGCGGATCCAGTCGATCAACACCTTAGTGACGTCACCCTTGCTGCGCAAGGGGAAGACTGTGGTGTAATGCGAGTAGTCGTCAACCACCAGCAGGAAGTACCGCTCGTGCCCCTGCCCACTGACGCGGGCTGGGCCCCACACGTCCATGTGGAGAGTCTGCAGCGTAGCCTCTGTCGGAGGAAACTCGGAGGAGTGAGGGGCGGCGCGCTATCGCCCCTCGACGCAGGGGACGCAGGTAGGGCCAGGCCCCGGAGGTAGGGGAGGGAGAGACCGGGGGAGACCAGAGAAAAGGACACGGGAGGCCATGCCTCGGAGACGAGGCAAAGAGGGGTGACCAAGGCGGTGGTGCCAAAGGAGAGTCTGGTTGGACAGTAGACGACACGAGCAGGGAGCAGACCTAGGACCTGACCTGGACGCTGCAGCAAACACCTGACTCGACGCAGCTACCGGGCCCGACTCAGCAGCCGGAGGAGACTCAGTAGTAAGGGTGTACAGGCTCGACCCTGGCCGACGGGTGAACGTGGCCAAGTGTCGGCCTGTCCGAGCACACGTGCAGTGGGTCACCCGCTGACTCGCAGGAGTGAACTCGTCAACCCCCCTATCCTGTAGGTCCGCTCCACTCACCAAGTTCGTAGAGAACGAGGGGAGGTAGAGACTTGACAGGGTGCCAGAGGGGGCTGCCGGGCACGGTAAAACAGTGGAGAAGCTAGCAAGGACAGGACCCCCAGAGGGGTCCGCCAGGGAGACTGCAACCGGCCGACTGAGTGGCGTAAGAGTGGTGCGGTCTCGAAAGAAGGAGCGGGACGCACCCGAGTCAAGGGTGAAGGTGTGTAAGGCCTGAGCTGACGTAGTACGTGAGAGAGCTGACTCACCAGCACCTGGGGCAGCAGACGCACTAGCACCTTGGGCAGCACAAGCTCTAGCACCTAGAGCAGCAGCCTCACCAGCACCTAGAGCAGCGGCCTCAATGCCCGGGTCAGGCGGTACACACAGGTAACAGTCAACCGCAACACTATCATCATCAGCATACATGGCAGCAAGAATAGCATAAAAATCAAGATCAAAGATAGCAACCCCCGCCCTAGACAGCTCTCTCCAGCGAGGGATCTTAGAGGCCCCAGGGAACTCGTGACGCCACGCGTCCGTCAGGCGGCCGAAGCAGCGCTGGGTGGAGTGCGGGCCCCCGCACTGCTCACCAGCGCGGTCGCCGGTGCGGAGAACGTAGGTGCAGGGACCCGTACCCCCACCGCGCTGACGCGCAGCGTACCACTCACGAAGCTGCTGAGGGGACAGGGTCTCACGACTGCTCTGCTGCTGCTGGCGCGTACCACCATCGGAGCCACTCCTCTGCGCAGAGCCGTGACCAGGTCCACTGCCGCCTCCGCCGCCTCCGCCACCTCCGCCGCCTCCGCGGCCTCCACCACCTCCGCCGCCTCCGCTCCCTCCGCCACCGCCGCCGCCTCCTCCGCCTCCACTGGTGCCACTAACACCTCAACCCCCGCCACCACTCCCACCACCACCCCCTCCCCCTCCACTGCCTCCACCACCACCTCCACCGCCCCCGCCAGCCCCTCCAGCGCCCTTGCCCCCCTTGCCTTTGCCGGGGCGGCGTCTCCCGCTCGGGGAAAACGCAGCCCCGACCGACTCGAAACCAACGAGGTCGGCCGCAGCAGGAGAGGCAACAGAGGGCAAGAGGGGGGAGGGGGAACACCCCTCAAAGACGGGGGTGCGAGGGTCACCACGAGAGGCTCCTACAGCGACTATGCTCTTCTCTCCTGCTAGGAGGGCCTTCTCGAGGAGGTCAACGGTGAGAGTGGTGGGGCAAACTGAGAGGAAGTGGTCCCTGACTACGCGGAGAGAGTCAAGGAGCCGGGTGACTATGTAGTAGAGGGTGATGTACATGGGGGGGGGGTTCTTGGCGCAGAACTCAGCAGGAAGCGCATCGCGGTAGCGAGTGTCACTAGTGCAGAGGTGCGTAATGAGGTCAGCGACTGTGGGAAAGGCAGCAAGGTCAGGGAAGAGGTACGGTAGCATGAGGCGGCTCAGTGCAGCAGTGGCAGGGGAAGAGTAGCGTGCAACTACAGCGTCGTACAAGGTCTGAGCACTCTTGTACTGGCTAAAGTGTGCACGCTCAGTGGTCGGTAAGTGGCGGCGCACAGCAAGGCGAGCAGCAGCATCGCGCGTGGCCCACTGTGAGCGAACAGTGGCGTCAGCATCAGCAGCAGGGGCAGGAGAGGCACCAGAAGTGAGGTCAAACAGGGAGAGACCGTCTGCCCTATCGCACTGTAGGAAAAGCTGCAGATCATCTACCCATACCTCAAAGTCAACTGCACGACCCTCAGCGTCAAAGGTGAGAACACTAGGGGTGGCCATGACAGCAGTAGGTAGGCAGTGAGTACAGTGGGGTAGGGCAGTGCAGTGGTAGAGGCGCTACTCTTACCAGGCAAGTGAGGCGGTCCCGGGCAGGCTGACAGGCGGCGGCGCCTCAGCTGCAGTGTGGTTCGGCGGCTTGGCGGCTCGGTAGGTCGGCGGCTTGGCGGCTCGGCAGCGAAGGCGGCTCGGCGTGGCCGTGAAGGGCGGCAACGGGGCCGCTGAAAGGGCGGCGACGGGGCCGCGGAAGGGCGGCGACGGGGCCGCTGAAGGGCGGCGACGGGGCCGCGTAAGGGGGGGGGGGGGCGGCGACGGGGCCGCTGAAAGGGCGGCGACGGGGCCACGGAAGGGCGGCGACGGGGCCGCTGAAAGGGCGGCGACGGGGCCGCGGAAGGGCGGCGATGGGGCCGCTAAAGGGCGGCGACGGGGCCGCTGAACGGCGGCGACGGAGCCGCGAAAGGGGGGGGGGGGGCGGCGACGGGGCCGCTGAAAGGGCGGTGACGGGGCCGCGGAAGGGCGGTGACGGGGCCGCTGAAGGGCGGCGATGGGGCCGCTGAAGGGCGGCGACGGAGCCGCAGTAAGGGGCGGCGATGGGGCCGCGGAAAGGGCGGCGACGGGGCCGCGGAAGGGCGAGGACGGGGCCGCTGAAGGGCGGCGACGGGGCCGCGGAAGGGCGGTGACGGGGCCGCGGAAGGGCGGCGACGGGGCCGGGGAAAGGGCGGCGACGGGGCCGCGGAATGGCGGCGACGGGGCCGCTGAAGGGCGGTGACGGGGCCGCGGAAGGGCGGCGACGGGGCCGCTGAAGGGCGGCGACGGGGCCGCTGAATGGGGGCGACGGGGCCGCAGTAAGGGGCGGCGACGGGGCCGCTTAAGGGCGCCAACGGGGCCGCTTAAGGGCGGCGACGGGGCCGCAGTAAGGGGCGGCGACGGGGTCGCTGAAAGGGCGGCGCGACGGGGCCACTAGGGGCCGTGAGAGACGGGGCGCGACTCGGGCAGGGGCCAAGCGCGCTCCGGGCAGGAAAAAAAAGTTGATATGCGGTGGGCCCTAGGAACTGTTCCCACTAGGGAACCAGCTCTATACCATGTGAAGTTTAGAACGAGAATGAATGCATTGAGCAGAATAAGGAGTACAAGTAGTAAACCTTAAAGTGTTGTACCCCATATGAACTGCCCCACTACAGCCTACACTGACTATAGCATATATGCCTGATAGGGGCGAGTGGGAACGACGCGATCCTGGTCGTCGTCGATCGACTGACGAAAATGGCACACTTCGCAGCCTGCAAAAAAACAATCACAGCCGAAGAAACAACACGCCTCTTCATCTCCACCGTCGTTCGAGTGCATGGGATACCACCAGCGATAATCAGCGACCGCGACACGAAATTCAGTAGCAACTTCTGGCGGAACCTGTGGCAGCAGTTCGGTACGCGACTATAGTTCAGTTCTTCGTACCACCCCTCAACCGACGGACAGACAGAACGGACAAACCAGACTATGGAGCAACTCATCCGAGCCACGTGCGACGACCCAACCACCTTGGAACAACAGCTGCCACTCATTGAGTTCGCATACAACAACTCACCGTCCGCCACGACCCAACAGTCACCGTTTTACCTAAACTACGGACAAGACCCGACAGTACCCATGACCCCGAATCCCGACAACCCAGTGCCACGAGCACAACAGTTTGCCGAAATTTTACGAGCAGCACGGACCCGGGCAGCTGACGCAATGCAAAAATCAGACATCATCACTAAACGTAACGCCGACCGCCACCGCCGACCTGTCACTTACCAACCTGACGACCTAGTTTTACTCGACACTCAGAACCTCCGACTGCCCATCACCCTCAAACTCCGCCCCCGATATTGCGGGCCATTTCGCATAAGCCACATGATTACGCCCGTCACCGCCCACCTCCTCCTCCCCGCTGACTGGTACAGCCCCTCATTCCACGTCAGCGTGCTTCGCCCTTACGTCTCGTCCACAAGCCAACTGCCACGAAATCGCCCAACCAGCATGACACGACTGCCGACTGAACCAATCATCACACCCGAGAAAATTCTGAGCCACAGAGTTCGTGACCCTCGAGGAGCCCGAAGGATCGAGTTCCTGATCCGCTGGAAAGACCGTACACCCACCGAAGACAACTGGGTTCTCTTGGACAGAATCGAAAACCACCCCGTCCTCACCGAGTATCTGCGCAGCCGATATTTCAGGGATGTACACGCGCTTTCGTAAGGAGGACCTCCTTAGGGGGGGGGGGGGTAGTGTAAGAAAAAATCCTTTTTCCTTACTTCGCGTCCCCGCTCAGCGCGTACACCACTGTAGCACCACAGTCAGCACTGTTACCACTCGCAACCCTCGAATCAACAATCCTCCCGCCACTTTCACACGTCGCACCCCGACCTCACAGCTCGGCGGGTAACCCGCGCTCCAGGCCTCCGCTTCGACACTTTCCCCGACCTCAGTCCCAGGCCCGTCGCGCAACAACCACAGTCCATTACCGTTACCACCGTAGTTTCGCTATATATTCTTCGCTCATGCCTTCGCTCATTTTACTCTTGCTTCGATAGTGCAATTCTTGCTCGCTCACTCAATTGCACTCGTAACAACATGGAAAAGTCAACACACTCAACCCTACACTAGGCATAGCAATTCAAACTTCTAACATGAAATGAATCCTACTCTAAGGATAATTCATTTCCTTAGGGCGTGTAAAATTGTAATGCCCAAACCAAATGGTCGATCATATGCTTGTTTCAGGCGAGTGC